TTTTAATTTGTAAGTGTAGAAATCTGTTGGTAATGCTGAAATGTACAATTTGGTCAGGGTGAGCAGGGACAGCTTTCTCAACTTTCTCAACTGATACTTTCTCCAGAGTATCAGCTGGGACAACCTGTCTGAGGCTGAAAGAGCCACTTGGCCCAGCAGCTTGGGAGACTGAGGCAGGAGGATCATGAATTCAAAGCCAGCCTCTGCAAAAGGGAGGCACTAAGCAACTCAGTGAGATCTTATTTCTAAATAAAATACAAAATAGGGCTGGGGATGTGGCTCAGTGGTTGAGTGCCCTTGAGTTCAATCCTTGGTACCTCCCTACCCCCACCAAAAAAAAGAGGCACTTTGAAGATGGATCACTCTGGTGGCTTGCAATTGACTGGAGTTCTCAGTTATGCTCAAGTAGGATTCAAGGAGAATGGAATTAGACTCAGAACCAGTAGTACCTATTATCCATCTGTCTGTCTGTCTATCTACTTACCTATCATGGTTTAGATCTTAAATGTCCCCTAAAGCCATATTTGAAGGCTTGGTCCTTAGCTGATGGCCCTGTTGGGAGATCGTGGAGCCTGTAGGAGGTGGGGCCTAGCAGAAAGAAGTTAGGTCATTGTGGGGTGGGGGGGTGCCCTTGAAGGGGACATTGCAACCCAGCCCTTTCCTCTTTCTCTGCTTCCTGGTCACCATGAAGTGAGCTCTGCCATGAGCCCCCCGCCATGATGCTCTGCCTCACCCCTGGCCCATTTCTCCATTTCATTCAGGTTTCTGCTCAAAGGCCACCTCTTGGGGAGTCCTTCTTGATCACTGAGTTCCAACCAGCCCCTCAGCCAGTCACTCTCTAGCAAGTTTTACTCTAATTCCCCACAACATAAGCGACATGTCATCACCTCCACAGCTATCTATTGGCTCAGCAGCCCCAGGCCAGTCCAGACTCAAGGGAAAGGAAATTAGCTCGTCCTTCCATTGGGGACAATGACAAAGAATTTGCACCCATTTGAGGGTCTGGGTTAGACCTTGGGATTCTGCATTTCCAAAGTGCAGCCCGTAAAGCCGATGCTGCTGTCCTAACAGTCACAGTGTGGGTGGCGGGTTCTTAGACCTCCCGACTGCGGAAGTTCTTCATTCCTAAATACTTAATGAGCACCTCCTGCGTGCTAGGACTCACTTTCAACTGCTTAGCTGTCCTGCTTCACTACTTAACTGTGTGGCTGAAGGAAGTGACTTCTGGTTTCTCTCCTTCCCTCCTGCGTCTCCCCAGACCTGGCTGCTCAACTCTGCTGCTTTCCCCCCTCCGCCTGGCTCTTCTCTGGAGGAACCTACCACCAGGTGGATATTCCTCCACAGAGAAGGGAGAATCTGGGGCAGCACACCCCAAGTTGCAAAGGGCTCTGAGTCCTTCAGGACCTGAAGCTGGGTCAGCAAGGGCTAGAAGGCACATGGGGAGCAGGAGGGCAAGTGTTGGTATCTCCCAACATTTGGTCAATTGCTGGGGGAATCTTGATCATCGTTATCTCTCTCCCTCAACAGCTCCACCCTCCAAACTCACTCTCATTTGGAGCCTGACTAAGGGGAGGTCTCAGAGGAGCCAAGACTACCATAAAGGGGAATTCAGGACAGTTTCTGGACAGGACGTACCCGCTTTAAGGCCAACATCCTGCTGGGCATGCAGCGGAACAAGCTGTTACTCAGGAGGCTGAGGCAGGAGGATTGCAAGTTGGAGGTCAGCCTGGGCAACTCAGGGAGACCCTGTCTCAAAACCAAAAACAACAAAACCCAACATCCCATTTCCCAGATGGTAAAACTGAGCCCAGAGAGGACCAGCATTTCCCATGACAGAACGAGGACTCCACTTGGGCAGCCTGGACCCCTTTCACTCATGGTCCCTCTGAGCCTTACATGTCCCTCTGTCCTCTGACCTCCAATGCTGAGCCTACAGATGTGCTTTTCCAGCTGGGCTTTTTATCTCCAGAATCTGACCCAGATAAATTAACGCTGTTGGATTCTTTGTTCCTGCTCCTTGAAGTCGTGTCTCAATAAAAGTCCTGGGCTGGCTAGAGGCAGGACTTGTACTCTTGCCAGGCTGTGCCTCTGGTGAGCACAGGTCTTCCTCTCTGAGCCTCCTCCTTCTGCCCTGAGAGATGGTGCAGGATGCCCTCCCCATCTATTCTTGAAGAGGAGCTCAAGGAGCCAGGAACCTGGCCCTGGCTTCGGGGCACCCAAACTCTTTTCATTGCTTTTGCCTGCCATCCCTTGGGCTTCGAGAGGCAGAGGCTGCTATCAACCTGGGGGCCCAGAGCTACCTTTGCCCCTAAATCAGGCAGAAGGCATGAAATCCTGAGGATCCACCCATGCCTGTGACCCTGAGGTGGCTTCCTCTGCACCCAGCTGGCTCCTCCCCCATGTCCTGGCTGCCTTCCCAGGCAGGGAGGAGGCAGTCAAGCCTGTGGGGATTGGTTGGCTCAGCCCTGCCCAGGCCAGCTTCCTGCAGCTTCCTACAGGTCGGGAGCCAGGGACAAAGAGGTCCTAGAGGAGGGGAAAGGAGATTGTGGGGGACAGGCTACTCCTGATAGAAGGTGCCAAGCAGGGGTGGGAGAGGGGGGCCTTGGCCTGGAATGGGGAGGGTGACATCAGCCCAAGGCTGGGGAGGCTCCCGGGAGCGTGTTGGCCTGGTGTCTGGGTAACCGAGTCCCTGGCCACTTCCCCATGATTCAGGCTGAGCCCCTCTGGGCTTTGAACAGACTCTCTCTCTCTCTCTCTCTCTCTCTCTCTCTCTCTCTCTCTCTCTCCCTCTCTTCTCCTTTCTCACTGCCTCTTCTCTGGATTGCCCTGGGTCTTCCCCCTCTCAGTCCTACCCCCTTCTTGAAGTCTCCACCCCTGTCCAGTGTCGCTGGAGTTTCCTGTCCCTTTCCAGGGCCTCAGTAGCTCACCGTCTGTCCCATCTTCCCTGCAGGATGCCGCAGCTGAGCCTGTCCTGGCTGGGACTGGGGCCCTGGGCAGCCTCTCCTTGGCAACTCCTGCTGTTGGCCGGGGCCTCCTGGTTCCTGGCCCGCATCCTGACCAAGATCTACACTTTCTATGACAACTGCTACCACCTCCGATGCTTCCCACAGCCCCCCAGACGGAACTGGTTTTGGGGTCACCTAGGCCTGGTGAGTGTGGCATACTGCGTCTGGACCATCAGAGTGGGTGGACTTTCTGAGAGGCGGGAGTGGGTTCAGAGAGTTGGGACCAGGGAGTGGACTCGGAGAAGTGAGGGAGACGGTGGGCAACCTCTTTTTCCTCTGCGCCACTGGATGCCTTCCCTCTTCTCTGTCCCCCTCCTGCCCTGAGCCCTTTCTCTTTCTTTCCCTTCCCTACCCAACTGCTTTGGGTCACATGGGTTACTGCCTTCCTCCCATTAGTGCATCCTGTCCTGCTTGGGGGGCTCCCGGGGAAGACTGCACAGAGCTGGGACCCCCGGCCAGTCCACAGTCTCCACCCTTGGATTTGTGGCCTCCGTGGGGCATTATCCAGGGTCTACTTCCTGCCTGGCCCATCTCTGTTGGCCTCAGGGCTGCCAGTTCTCTGCATGAATGAGCTGTGACCCACCTCCCCCTCCCCACATCCCCACAGGGACACAGCTGGGCCCGCGGTTTCTTCCCACTCCAACTTCTCAGGAACTTCTCTTTTCTTATCCTGCCCTCCACCGCCAAGATGTATCAATGGACCCAAGTCGGCCACTATCCCCCTCTCTCACCTCTCTCTCCCTCCCTTCCTCTCTTTCCAGGGCTGCACACGTGCTCCGTGAATCCTCTGTCACTGAGCAGCACCCAGCCACTTTCTTTTCCAGAAAGAATTGCTGTGGCCTCTGCCATGGTGGCTACGCCTGCTGGGATGGGGCTCCTCACTCACCATCCTGGGCCTCATTCCCAGAGGCCTTTGCTCTGTGTTGTGTGCATCTGCTGTTTCCAGAACCATACCTTGGCTTTGCTGTTACTTGCTGGAGCATCACCGCCAGTGCCACTGATGATGTGTGGCCGCCTCTCACTACAGCTCTCCTTCCCGCTTTCTTGTTCACCTCCTCTCATCACCCTCAGGACTTCCATCCCCTCTGCATCCTAGTCCAACAACTTCTTTCCAATCCTCCTTCCTCGACCACCTCTAGCTCAGTTCCTATCATGACTCACAAGCTGCAGTCTCTTGCTGTTTGGGCTTTTCTACATGGATGTTTGGGGAAAAAAATTGCTTTGGAGAAACTCAGCCAACCATGTTCTCTGAGGTCTTCTCCACAATGATGCTGGAGAAGGTCACAGAACTGGACAGTTAGGTTCCATGTAGATTCCTCTCCACTCACCTCTAATGAGATTCACTCTGCACCAAACCTCCCATCTCCTTGATCAGCCTCAAGGACGAAGACTCACCTTTGTTCGTGGCCTCCCTTTCCCTGCTCATTCCTCATCTGGTCCCCACCCCTACCACCCTCATGACCTCCAGTTTCCCTAAGTCCCATGGACATCTCCAGCCCCATCCCATCCATCTCCCAGAAGTTCTCTGCTATGCTAACTGTCCCATGCCCAGGGACCTCCTCTTCTTTTGGTTCCTGGATGACACCTTCCCCTGGTGTCCCCTGAGCTCCCTGTGGCCCCTCTATCTCCCTCCGGCTGTTTCCCCAGGCTTTTCATATGGGATTCTCTGGGATCTCAAATTCTCCTCCTCCTCTCTCTCCTGAAGCCACCTCCTTGGCCAGGGGTCCAGCTCCTAAGTTGACCATCAGTTCCCTCCTGAAGTGAGTTCCAAGTTCACATCTCTCCTGAGCTGGGGACTAAGATTAGAACCGCCTCTAAACTTGTTTTCTGCCAAGCTGGGGAGGAACCAGAGCTAGTGGCAAGAGGCTGTGCTGGGGTTTGGGGACAAGGGAGAAAGTCGGATGGAGTGAAATAGCTATGAGTCCACAATGAATGGGAGTGAATCTTAAGGTGTTGGTGGGGAGGACAGAGAGAGAGAGAGAGAGAGAGAGAGAGAGAGATGGGGAGCTGAGATAAGAATAATCAGAGACATAGAGACAGAGATGCACATACACATGGAAGGGGGAGGGAGGCAGAACCGAGACAGAATGAGGAGAAAAGATGGAAAAACACACAGAAGGACAGATAAACTGGAGTAAAGAAACAAATGCAGACACAAGTATCTATCTATTTAATCTCTACCTCTGTTAGCTACTTATTTATCTTTAATTTCTTCGATATATTATCTATTCATCTTACCTGCCTATAATGTGTCATTATCTAGCAATGTATCTATCTTATCTATATTTAATTTATCATTTCTCCATCTGTCAATCATCTGTATGTTCATCTCTGTATCCCTATCTGTCTATAATGCATCACATCAATCACTAATCTATGTATCCATCTTTGTATCTCTTTTATTGCTGAGGTCCAGCCCCTGCGGGGGTGGTGGTGGGGGTGGTGGAGAGAGGTCCAGGGTGGTCCTGAAGGAAGAGTGGCATCGACAAAAGAAGAAGAGTAGAGCAACTTCCAGAAGACATCTTTCAGCCCCTGGAGGGACCTTTATTTTTATACCTTTTTACAGGTGTTTTCTCAGGTAGTTAATGGATAGTTTCAAAGCCGGAAACTTTTTTGATTTACATAATTTTCAAGAATTACAATCTTTTTTGACATACAATGAATACCTAAGATATTGAGTACATTGTTCAAAATATTTTTCTGTAACCTTAGACAATCATGATTAAGCTTTTAGGTTTTCATGTCAATCACTAGGTGCTAGGGGATGCAACTAGACTACATGACTCCTGACCTATTATTCACTTCTAACTTTAAAGCATACCTATAATTATTTCATTAACCTTTAACTTTAAAGCAGACTTATGATTATTGGTAAGCTTTCTTACTTCTAAACTAAAATCCCAGTAAAACACACTTAAAGTAGTGAAAGTCTATTATTTAAAAGCCTACTACTCCGAAGTGCCTCTAAACTATATCTATGTTAATTTTACATTATTCTATTTTTAATTTCCAAGGTAATTTCCTTTTTTTCATATGACCTATTCAACTGCTTTCTTAAAGAACTTCCTTGATCCTTGGTCAAAACACACCAATTCCTATGTCTTTGTAATCTTTAACTAAAGGGCAGGCTTTACACCTCAACTCATTTGTCATTTATATTAACTACGTGTTTTCCATTTTCATCATAAGTTTCTGCATAAGGCAAAGGAGGGTCTATTGGTTGGGTAATGTATTTTTATTCGCCTCTTGTCCTCGAGGGGATACCATAAGCTACACGGTGGTCCTTGTACTGTTGGCACAGCAATTGTTTTTCTGTAGCTAGGCTGTTGTACAGGTTGTGGCTTTTGGATGGGGTTGGGGGGGCTAGTGTAAATTGTTAACCATGGGATAAATATTTCTGTTGTTTAAGCTTGAGGAATAACACCATTGCCTGTATCCTGAGAGACACTGAAACGCACCTCATGGCATGTCTCAATTGCATCCTTCATCTCGTTCTGGGACTTTTCCTGCAATCTCAGGCCATACGTACTTCTATTATTGATTGACGTATGCCTTGTTATCCATATCATGAGGATCATAAACAAAACACTTAACATTCCTAATGGTTCCGGTTTCCAGATGGTGTGGCCCTGCCGCAGCATCCCCCACGCTGTGACCCTGTCAGACAGCGGGTGTAGGAACACCTTCACCATTTTATCTATCATACCTATCTATGATCTATTCACAATACATCACATCTATCTATCTATCCATCATCCATCATCCATCCATTCATCGTCTGTATACCTATCTAGGAAAAGAGAGATGAAGAGGGGGAGGGTTCAGAGACACATGGATAGAGATACAGAAACAGAGACAGACGAGAACAGTTCAGGTGGAAGGGGTAAGAGGTGGGGCTGTGGTGGAATCCCAGTCCCCTGGCAGGACTGGCCTCAGCCCTCTCCTTCCCCAGGCCCAGAACAATGAAGAAGGCATGCGGCTGGTGGAGGAGCTGGGCCACTGCTTCCGTGATGTCCACCTCTGGTGGGTCGGGCCCCTCTACCCCGTCCTGCGGCTTGTCCACCCTAAGTTCGTTGCCCCCCTGCTCCAGGCCCCAGGTATCTCTCCCAGTCCTGACCCCTGGCCTCTTTTCCCTGTTCCTGTTCCCAGCCCTTCCCACCTCTGGATAGGCCAGGCTGAGCCGGGGAAGGGGCGATATCCAATAAAGACCATGGCTCTGCCTATCACAGGCAAGTGACTCTGGACAGGGTCTTGGCCCTCTCTGGGGGCTCAGGTCTTTTTCAGTTGTGAGTGATGGAACTCAACTCAGTGTGGTCTAAGCAAAGAAAAGGGATCTATTCACAGTAAAGGGCAGGAGAATGTCTTCAGATAAGCTGGATCCAGTTCTTCAAACAATACCAGCAAGAGTCTTCATCTCAGTTCTGCTTCCTCCTGTGATGGCTTCACTCTTATTCTGCTAAAGATGAGTCCTAGGATTTCAAGTCCTGGGGAAAATTCCCTGTAGTTCCAGGATTCTCTTAAATTTGCCTCATTTGAGTGAAGAACCCATGCTTCACTTAGTCACTGTGACTTGACTGTGGAGGCCTAGCTCAGCTCTGGATGGTGGAACCACCTCTCAGCTCCTTGGATTAAGGCTGGGGAAGGTGTGAGGTGCTGGTTCCAAGAGAAAGGGTCCAGCAGCTGAAACGGAAGACATTTATCTACTAGCTGTAAGACAGGCGGTTCCTGGGTAAGGAAACTGGGGCTCAGGGAGGTGCTAGGACTTCTCAAGTTCACCCAGCATACCAAGGCCTCCTCCTTAGTTCTGTGCACTCTGGTATGTCTCAGCTGCCTCTGATGGAAGCGTCCCTAAGCTCAGCCTCTGACCAGGGAGGTGGATCCTCTGGTCTTTCTAGGAGCCCTAACACTTAGTGCTTAGTGTGGAGTAGAGGAGGACACTGAGACAGTCTGGGTCATCCCTGTGTCACATCTGGAATGTTAATGGGACCACATTTAAATCCTATCTGGGGATCATATGTAGGTCACATTTGGTTCATGTCAGACTGTCTTAGACTGTCTATTTCAGACCATGTGGTATCATGTCGGGGCAGATCATGTATGTTGTGTAGTGGTGGGTCATGGTAACACATGTTGTATCCATGACGTATGTCCCCAGCATGTCAGGAGATGTCAGAGAGTGCTGAGACAGGCATTCTAGTCCCTGGAAAGGTGTGTTGTAGAGTGCCGGGCCATTCTCGAGTGAGAGAGAACACGGAGGCCTTCTGTCAAGGCCTGCTGGAGGGTGCTGAACCTCTGCTTCTGCAGCCTGGTCTGGTGCCCCTAGTTCCTCACTCCTTCCTGATTCCTATGCTCTTGGCTCTCTTCCTGCTGTTCTGGGCTCAGAGGAGGGAAGTGCAGACCCTTGGCTGGGAATCTCCACCCTCCCTCACTCCATGGGCCCTGATGATGCTCACTTTTGCCAGCTATGGTTGTACCCAAGGAAATGGCTTTCTATGGCTACCTGAGACCCTGGCTGGGTGAGTAACTGCAGGTGAAAGGGATTGGGGACAACCTGGGGGGCCAGGGAATGGTGTTGCCTTGTCTACTGCCCATGGCTGCTCTACCAGGGGATGGGCTCTTGCTGAGTGCCGGTGACAAGTGGAGCCACCGCCGGCGCCTGCTGACACCTGCCTTCCACTTCAACATCCTGAAGCCCTACATGAAGATTTTCAACCAGAGTGTGGACATCATGCATGTGAGTTCCTTGAACCCAGGGCCCAGCTAGAAAGGGGGAGTGGCTCCCAACAGACCAGCAGACCTGTTTCTGCTGGTAGATTTGGGGCTATAGCTTTTTCTCTCCAAGTCTTGGTTTCCTCATCTGTAAATTGGGAGTAATAACCTCTACTTAAAATGAGGTCAAGATGATGTCACAGAGCTATGGTCCTGGCACATAGTGGGTGCTTCTAAGGCATTAGTTTCTAGTGTCCCTCACAGAAGCCCTAGAAACTCAACACAGTAATGCTGTATACAGTAGTTCTTTCTGCACAGTCTACTATTTTAAAACTCATTGGCTTTAGTGGTCCAGTGGGACTCTTCCATTTGTTTCTTATCTACCAAGCCTGGGCTTGCTAGCATGGCAGAGACTGGGTTGAGAGAGAGAGAGAGAGAGAGAGAGAGAGAGAGAGAGAGAAGAAACATTCAGTCCCTCTCTATGCTTAGTTTTAGAACTAGCACATGATTTTTTGTGTGTGTGCTGGAGATCGAACCCAGGAGTGCTCAGCCACAGAGCCACAGCCCCAGCCCCTTCAGACATGGTCTTGCTAAGTTGTTTTAGGGCCTCACTAAGTTGCTGAGGCTGGCGTTGAACATACTCTATGGGCCAAAGCAAGTCTCAAATCCAGCTTAGGTTCAAGAGATGGAAAAAAAAAAAGTCTCCACTTCCTAATGGAAGGAGCTACAAAGTCTCAAAGGCTAAGACTGTGCTTTGTTGGACGGTAGTGTGTCTTAAGCAGGGAAGGGCCGTGTTCAGAAATTTTAGGGAAAGCTGGGTGCGGTAGTGCACATCTGTAATCCCAGCAACTCAGGAGGCTGAGGGAGGAGGATCATGAGTTCAAAGCCAGCAACATACTGAGGCTGTAAGGAACTTAGTGTGACCCTGTCTCAAAAAAAAAAAAAAAGTACTGAGGGTGTGACTCACTGTTTAAGCACGCCTGGGCTCAATCTCTGGTACTAAAAATAAATAAATAAATGAATTTTGCAACATTTCCAAATCCTTCATTATGCTAATGAAGATGATAATGCTAGCCAACACTTACTCCACACTGACTATATACAGAAACCCTGTGCTAATGTGATTTTCACAACCCTCTGAGGTAGAGAGGATTATGATTGCCACATTGAATGATGAAACCAAAGGTCAGAGAGATTATGGATCTTGTCCAAGTTTACCCAGCAGTAAGTGAGCAGGCATTCTAACCTGGTTTATGTGACATTGAACCAGGTAAACTTAACTAAATGTTGCTGAAGACTTGGCAGGTTACTGACCTGGGGGAGGGCAGTGAGTTGCCCAGGTGCATGGAGCATGGGGGGCAGAGCTGGACTTGAGCTCAGGTCTCCTGACTCCCACCTGAGTCTTCAGCTCCTACTAGGAACAGCTTCTGCTCTCACCAAACCTGGTCCCTTCTGGGTTTGGGAGCCTCAGGCACAGGACCAAAAGGCTGGTTCTGGGGAGTCCATCCTGGTAGGAGTAGTTGAGCAAGGGCTCTGGGAGCCAAGACCAAGCCCCAGCCCTGTTCCCTTCTCTGGCCAGGCCAAGTGGCAACGACTGATCTCAGAGGGCAGTGCCCGTCTGGACATGTTTGAGCACATCAGCCTCATGACCTTGGACAGTCTGCAGAAATGCGTCTTCAGCTTCGACAGCAATTGTCAGGAGTGAGTTCTTGCCCAGGGCCTGGGAAATTGGTGGAGGAGGAAGGACTGACCAGAGGAATCAGTGGAAGCTTCTGGAGGGGGTGGGTCAGAACTGGGCACTGAAGGACAGGGAGGGGAAGAGATAGTAGTCTTTCCAGGTAGCGGACTTGTGTGAGCAAGGGCAAGTGGGCTCACAGCAGAGCGTGTGCAAGAGTAGTGAGGATACCCCTTGGAAATGAGGTTGGAGGGAAGGAGTGGCTAGATCTTGAGGACACTGAGTAGCCAGGCAAAGGGGTGTGAACTTTATCCTGGGGCTCCCAGGGAGCCATAGAAGGTGTGGGAGCAGGTGAGAGTCATGGTCAGAGCTGAACTTGGATGTTTGATTCCCTGGAAGACTGATGGTCGCATAGACACAGGATGCAAGGAAACCTAGAGAGGAGGAGGTCTTGGTGGAGAAAATGGGGCAGATTCAGGAGAAGAGCAGATGTTGAATAAGAGGGCGAGGAGATAAGCATCAGGCCCATGCTCTGCCCCGGACACCTGGGATGCGAGCCAGCTCAGAGAGAGTGGCACAGAGGACTGTGCTTGGCAGCATGCCTTTCTGGATGGTTTGTGGCCCTGGGACCCTGGCTGGGAGTGCTCCCTGTGTGCTAAGGAGCTGCTTCCCCTCTGTCCTGGCCCTGCAGGCAGCCCAGTGAATATATTGCCGCCATCTTGGAGCTCAGTGCCCTCGTAACCAAACGGCACCACCAGATCTTCCTGTACTGGGACTTCCTGTACTACCTCACTCCTGATGGGCGCCGCTTCCGCAGGGCGTGCGACCTGGTGCACGACTTCACAGATGCGGTCATCCAGGAGCGGCGCTGCACTCTGGCTGCCCAGGATGTTGATGATTTCCTCAAGGCCAAGGCCAAGTCTAAGACTGTGGACTTTATTGATTTGCTCCTGCTGTCCAAGGTGGGCTTCCCTGAGACTTGAATTGAAGAGGTAGCGTGGACCTTAATGGTAAATATTAGACAGAAGTTGAACGGGATTGAGAAGGTTGTGGGGAGCCATGGAAGGTGCTTGAGGAAAGGAGAGAACAGTCAGAGATAAGTGCTGGAGGTCACGCTGTAGAAGGCTGCCTCTGAGGAGCACAGAGGCAGGAAACACGGGAGGAAGAACTAGGTCAGGCTCTGGAGATGATAAGAGACGGACCCTGCTTAGACCCAGGTGCTGTTAGACTTGGTCTGATTTGAGGGTCTTGTCCTGTGTCCAGGATGAAAATGGGAAGAAGTTGTCAGATGAGGACATACGAGCGGAGGCTGACACCTTTATGTTTGGAGGTGAGGGACTAATGTGGCAGTACAGAGGGGGTGGGGTCATGGCATTCTATCCCTCCTCCCCTTTCCCCACCCTTCCCAGGACCTCAATGCTTGGGCGCTGTCCACCCTCTGGTGCTGAAGCAGCCCAGAGGCCCAAGGCTGCCTGACTGCCCCTCAGGCCATGACACCACGGCCAGTGGTCTCTCCTGGGCCCTGTACAACCTGGCAAGGCACCCGGAATACCAGGAGCGCTGCCGGAAGGAGGTGCAAGACCTGCTGAGGGACCGTGATCCTAAGGAGATTGAGTGGTGAGTGAGTCCTCAAGGCCCTCCCTGAGCCCCTATCATGGGCCCTGCTTCCTAGGTGGGGAACAGGAAGATGTTTTTGCTGGGAGTTATCTGGGAATCCACATGTATCACTTTTTGAACTTGCTACGCAACATTTAGCAAAATCAATTCCCTTTTCTGAATCTCTTTTCTTACCTGTAAACTGGAGGGCATCTCTACCCCATAGAGTTACTTGGAGAACTAGTGACAATATAAGTCAAGCAGATGCCACCCAGCATGGATTCAGTAAATGAACCATCCTCCTCTGCTTTGCACTTCTGTCTAAACTTGCATTTCCCTAAGACATTTACTCCTCTTTATTATTATTATTATTATTATTATTATTATTATTATTATTATTATCATTATTATTTTGGTACCGGGGATTGAACTCAGGGGCACTCGACCACCGATCCACATCCCCAGCCCTATTTTGTACTTTATATTTAGAGGCAGGGTCTCACTGAGTTGCTTAGCGCCTCACTGTTGCTGAGGCTGGCTTTGAACTCATGATATTCTTGCCTCAGCTTCCCTAGCCGCTGGGATTATAGGTGTATGCCACCATGTCTGGCTTTAATTTTTATTCTTTTAAAAAACTTGCAGGCTATTCCAAGAGTTCACAAAGATCTCAGTGGGCAAAACTCATTCATCTCTTCACTTGGTAAACACATCCATATTTTCAGCCCTGCCATCTCCCAACTATGTGTCCAGTCCCATTTTTAGAATTTACTTTCATATTTACTTATTTGCAACCGGGGTCTTGCTATGTTGTCCAGGCTCAAACTCCTGGGATCAAATGATCCCAGCATCTCAGACTCCAGAGTTGCTGGCACTCTGGGTACATGCTTACATGCCCATCTTTCCTTTTTCATTTTAATCCTACCTGGACAAAGCTGGGGCAGAAAGAATGGAGGCCAGACTGGTAATGAGACAGTGAATACAGATTTTCCATATTGAATGTGGGGATCAGAAGAGCTGGTCAAGGGGGACGGTTGTGCAGAGGCTAGGTTGGGAGTTTGTACGAGAAGCCTGGCATGTTTTAGGGTTCAGGGGAAGCAGTGGCTGAATCTTTGTGAAGCAGTGTCAAGAACAGAGAGACTCCTGGGGGTGGTATCAGATGCCCTGCTTGCAATGCTTTGAAAACCATGTTTGGACTTTAATCAAAAATGTGTCAGTTTGAGTCCTTTGGAATCCCATATTAGAAGAAAGATTAAAGTGGGCAGGGATGCTGCTGTTAGGGGAGCCAGACATTGGGCACAGATGCTCATGTGCTTGTGGATCAGCATGGTCAATTATTGGCTAGGTGCTGTCTGGGAAAGCGAGGCTGTGGCTTGGATGCTGTGTGATAGAGCCTGAAGACCCCATAGCTGGAGGCTGACAGATAAGTGCATTTCTTGCAGCTGGACAGTAAGTTCTTACTTAAAGGAAGATTCATGACTAACCCAGAGGGCAATGAGGAGCCATGGCAGATATTTGAGTAAGGGAGGGGCAGATCAGATCTGGGCATTAAGAAACATTTCTCTGTGATTATGAGGGCAAATTGGAGGGGACGAGGTGGGGCCCAGGGGGTCCAGGGATGGGGAAGAGGTATTGGACTGGTCAGACATTTTGGAAAGTGTCCTCAACTTTAAATCTTTGCCCAGTACAGATGATGTTTTTGTGATTCCTCCACCTTCAAATAATTATGCCCTTGGTAAAAGTTCAAATAATTCATTATAACCCTTTTGTATTGTTTAGGCCATCATTTGTCCCCTTCCTGCTTTTGATGATTGCCTGTGTCTTTCCAGACAATGCTGGGTCTGTTCACATTCTCTCCTCTTGCTCATTCTTTCCTTCCCTCCATTTCTGTTCAGCTGGGAGGAGATACAGAGCCCTCAGCTCCCACATTGAAGCAATAGCGCTTCAAGGTCTTTTCTTTTTTTTTTTTTAACTCAAAATTTGAAAGATAACTTTGAATTGTCAAGACAATCATGGGAACACATTTTTTTTCCTTTTCAGAAATTGAAACACTGAAACATTATAAATTACGTTTCTCTTTTTTTAATATTTATTTTTTAGGTGTAGATGGACACAACACAATGCCTTTATTTTTATGTGGTACTGAGGATCAAACCTGGGTCCCTCCCGTGCTAGGCGAGCACTCTACCGCTGAGCCACAATCCCAGCCCCTCTCTTTAATTTTTTTAAAACTTAAAAATTTAAAAAAAAAAATATATATATATATATTTATGGGGTGGAAAGAGATGTTATGATTTTTAATATAATGTAGAATGATTATATGAAACTAATTAACATACCCATCACCTCAACTACTTAACATTCTTTTATAATGAAACTATTTGAACACTTACTCTCTTAGCAATTTTGGAATGTATAGCACTCAATCATTAGCCACATTTACTATTCGGTTCAATTGATCTTTTTTTTTTTTTTAGAGAGAGAGAGAGAGAATGAATTTCTAATATTTATTTTTTAGTTATTGGCGGACACATCTTTGTTTGTATGTGGTGCTGAGGATCAAACCCGGCCGCACGCATGCCAGGCAAGTGTGCTACCGCTTGAGCCACATCCCCAGCCCATCGGTTCAATTGATCTTTAAATAATGAAGCTCGCTGGGAGTTGTGGCACATGCCTGTAATCTCCGCAATTTGGAAGCTGAGTCAGGAGAATCATAGTTTGAGACCAGCCTGGGAAACTTAGCAAGACTCTGTCTCAAAAACTAAAAAGGATGGGATGTAGTTCAGTGGTACAGCACCCTCTGGTTCAATCCAATCACAAACAACAACCTTCTTTCCCCTATCTAGCTGAGACTTTGGACCTTTGGACTATCACTTCCCCATCCTCCCACCTCACAGCCTCTGATAACAACATGCTAGTCTTTGCTCCTAGGAGTTCAATTGCTCTTGATTCTACTTCTAAGTGAGACAGTACTTGTCTATGTGTGTTTGGCTTATTTTACTTAACATAATGCTCTCCAATTTCATTCATGGATGCAGATGATCTTGTTAGCCTCTTCCCCACACCTGATCCTGTCTCTTGTCTCCTGAGAGGTCCCTAGAGCCAGAAATTTGTCACATGTCCTTCCAGATCTTTTTCTTGACACTGATTCTATAGATGTGTATAAATATGCCCTTGTTTTTACACTCAACACTGTGTCTTGAGACTCCTTATTTTGAGTGCTATGGAGCATGCCGTAGTTTATTCATCTCACAACTCTGTTGGGGACATTTATGTAAACATTTTCAATTATAAAAAATATTGCTGAATTCCCTTTAGTATTTCTGTACCAGTCTATCCTCTAGAGTGTGATAGGACTAGTGATACCTATTTCTACCTTTCAGGTAGCTATTTAGTATTCCACCATATCCTTATCAAAACATTCCCCCCTCAATGGAAATTTGTACAGTTTCCATTGTTTTGCTATCACAAACACAACATAGTAAATATCTGTGTATACTGACACTTTGCTTAAACATGTGAATACCTTTGCAGGACAAAGTCCTAGAAATGCAGTTGCTAAAGAAAAGGTACTTGACTTTTATAACTTAATAGCTCTTGGAAAATCCAGTCTTACATAGAAACTGTGAGAATGCTCCATTCCTTGAGTGCTTACCAAGAGTTTACACTAAGAAACTTTAAAATATTTGCCAATCTGATAAGTGAAATATAATTCTTTGTTATTTTAATGAACATCAATTAAGCACTAGTAATCTTGAGCTTTGGGTTCATCTGTTGATAAGCCATGCATATTTCTTATTATGTGATATGTCAGTTCACATAAAATTTATCCTTTCTACTTTGGGATTTTTAGTTTTTCTTATTGATGTATAAGAACTCTTTACATATTAGTAAAATTAGCTCTTTAAAAAAAATATATGGGCTGGGGGTGTGGCTCAAGCGGTAGCACGCTTGCCTGGCATGCGTGCGGCCCGGGTTCGATCCTCAGCACCACATACAAACAAGGATGTTGTGTCCGCCGAGAACTAAAAAATAAATATTAAAAAATTCTCTCTCTCTCTCTCTCCTAAAAAAAAAAAAAATATATATATATATATATATATATATATATATATTATTGATGGACCTTTATTTATTTGTTTAAATGCAGTGCTGAGAATTGAACCCAGTGCCTCACACATGCTAGGCAAGCGCTCTACCACTGAGCCACAACCCCAGCCCCAAATTAGCTCTTTTTTTCTGCCATGCAATATCCTTCCCCAAATTATCTTTGACTTTATTTTTTGTTTGGGTTTATTTATTTTGGTTTGATTCATCTATTTGTAGTCAAATTTATTAATTCTTTTTTAGCTCCTGTTTTTGTTTATTTTTAAATTTGTGTTACTAAACATTTCACACTTTAATTTTTTTGCATTTTTTTTAGTTGTAGTTGGACACAATACTTTATTTTATTTATTTTTATGAGGTTCTGAGGATAGAACCCAGCACCCTGCACATACTAGGCGAGCACTCTACTGCTGAGCCACAACCCCAGCCCCATCACATTTTAATTTTAAAATGTAAAGTTCTTGTGTGTTTTCCCCTAAAGGGTTTATTTCTTTTCAAATATAGTTTATTTATTTAACATTTTATTTACTTTTTATATTTAACATTTCCCTATGAAATCTATAAGTACTGTTTAAGTACTGAGGTATAAGTACTGAGGTAAGAATCTATTTTTTCCCAAATAGCTAATTGTCCCAACAGAATGTAATGAAATTACCTTAGGATTTTAAACAGTTGCTTCATAATAAGCCAACTTCATTTATATGTATTTGAGTTTATTTCTGGACTCTACTCTGTGCCATGTATTTATTTAGTGATAATAAGCTCCAAGAATCTTTATTATCATTACTTTAAAGAACACTTCATATTCGATAAAGTTTGTCTCATCTACTTATTTTGCTTTTACATTTTTTTCTTGACTTCTTATTTTTCCACATGATAGCTATAATCCAATTGGCTAGCCTGAAAAAATAACCTTGAAATTTTTAAATAATTAATATTTTTCAAATTAAACTCCTCAGTTTCCAGGAGTTTAATTAACCACTCTCTCCAAATTCCTGACTAGATGTCATCATTTTACTGTGCAATACTTATTTTCTCCCATTTATCCCAAGTCTAGTCTTCCCTAATGTGATTCTAAAGAAACTGATGCTTTTATTTTGTAAAATTTGTTGTTGAAGTGGGTATATTATAAACTTTGCAAATATGCTGTTGGGTCACAGCTCTGATACTGATTTTCACCTTTTCCAGAGATGCAGCACTGGGATTTTATTAGCCTTCCATGGTTCTAAGTCCATGTAGATTATTGTGTTTAACTGTCATGTGGTGCTTTCCTCTTTAGTCCCCTAAGTGCTGGACACTCAGGCTGCTTCCATCCTGTCCCTGCAGCAAACATCTTTGTATGGACTCTTCATCCACTTGTCTGAAGACCTCTCTGAAACCCATACTTGGGAGCCAGTTGGAAGGGTTGTAAACACATACCATTTTTCCTTGACCACATACTGGCAGTTGCCCTCCAGAATGGCAGCCCCTGCCCACATCCCCACAATCAGTGCATGAGATCCACCAACCCCTCCACACCCCTCAGCCAATCCTCAGCACTCCTCACATTGTTGATTCCTACCTCAAACAGATATGAAGTAACATCTCATTGTTAATACTTCCATTTCTCTGATAACCAGTGACTCTGTGCACCCCTTCTTAAATCTCTTGTGGTTGATCTCTGGGAATTCCTAGATTATATCTTTTTGTTTATTTTTTTCTTGGGTCACCTGTCATTTTGTTTGTTGATTTGCAGGAATTCCTTGTATATTCTAGATCTACATATATCTCTGAACCTCTCATCAGAATGTGAATTTGGTCCATGGTATCTTTTATTATATAGTAATTCTTCATTTTTGTTTGTATTTATCCTTTTTAATTTTGGTTTTATGGTTTGTATTTTTGAGATTTTAAGAATTCCTTATTGCTAGGTCACAAAAATATCTGTTATCTTCTTTGTAGTTTTTTTTTCTTTACTCAGGCTGGGAAGGGGGTGGACTGATGGGGACAGTTTGTAAATGGGTACAAAGTTATAGTTAGGGGGGAGGAATAGTTCTGATATTCTGCACAACAATGTATTATACATTTCAAAATAGCTGAAAGAGAGAATTTTGACAAAGATATGACAAATGTTGGAAATGATGGATATGCTATTAAATTTACAGTTTTATCTTTTAGTTATGGGGGAGGCTCTACCCTGCATGTGGAGTAGAGGAGGATTTAGTTCTTTTTGTTTCCATATTGCCAGTTGTCTGAACACCTCCACCAGACCATATATCCATTTTCCAGGAATGTGTGGAACCTCTTTACCAGATGCTAAAGTTGATGTGTCTGACTCCAAGCTCTCTACTTTGTTCTATGGATCTATTTTCCTGTTCTTGTTGCAGTACCATATATTTTTTAAAAAAATACTTTAAATACTATACCTTTGTAATAGGTCTTAATAATGGGTAGATTAGGCTCCTCTTCTTTGATACTTTTATTTTTATATTGACCCAGCCCCTGATGAACTTTAACCCTTCCAATTGGAATAAGATCATTGGGCTGGGGATCTAGCTTAGTTGCAACAGTGCTTGCCTCTAATGTGCAAAGCCTTCGGTTTGATCTCCTGCACCAAAAATAAATAAATAAATAAAGATTAAAAATTGTCTAGCTTAAAAATCCAACTAGATTTTTATTGGATCACATTGGATATATACTGATTTAGAAAGAAGTCACACCTTTATGTTAATAGGTCATGCCTCCCTAGCATGTGGGTGAATCTTATACATTCAGATAACCTTATTAACCCTTTAAGGATATTTGTTTCTGCTTTTGTTCAGTCATTTTATCATTTTAATAATGCTTTCTTTCAAATATATCAATATTTTTAAGAGTACACTTTTGAAAGGTGTATTTTGCTGAGAAATATTTCTAAAAACACCAGGTCAACTTTTCTTCTAGTATTTTTGTAATTTTGATTTTCTAATGTTTAAACCTTTGATCCGTCTGGGATTCATTTTGTTGTAGGACAGAGGGGCAGAGGGCGGTGGCAAGAGGGTTTCATGGGGCAGCAGTAAGGCTGGGGGAGTTTTTCTGTTTGCTCCTTGGATAATTGTTTGGGGGCGGTTCCTTAGGGACGACCTGGCCCAGTTGCCCTTCCTGACCATGTGCATCAAGGAGAGTCTGCGGTTGCACCCCCCAGTCACAATCATCTCCCGCTGCTGTACCCAGGACGTTGCCCTCCCCGACGGCCGGGTCATCCCCAAAGGTGCCCACAACGGCAGGGGGAGGAGGCTCCTGGGCACGGTGGTGGTCTCATGGGGCAGCACGGTCCTCATCCTGATTGTCCCCTCTTTCCCTACAGGGAACGTCTGTGCTATCAGCATCTTTGGGATCCATCACAATCCATCTGTCTGGCCAGATCCTGAGGTGCTGCTCCTCCTCCCCATTCCTGGGGCCTGGTGATGGGGCGCGGACCTGACCTGGGACACCAGACTCTGTGCCTCTACTGCACCTGCCCGACTTCCCCCGGGGTGGCTGGTGTGCCTGCCAAGAGGCCCCTCCCAGCAGCCCTCTCTTGCCCTGTCCCCAGGTCTATGACCCCTCGCGCTTCGACCCAGACAGCCCCCAGAAGAGGTCACCTCTGGCTTTTATTCCCTTCTCGGCGGGGCCCAGGTGAGGGCAGCGGGCATGGAGGCGGGATGGGTGAGGGTGTGCAGAGTGGCCTCGTCCGAACGCCCCGTGCCTGATTGTGGGGCGCGTGCGTCAGGGCTCGAGGTTTGGAACGGGATCCCAGGAAAGGGGTGTGTGTGGCAGAGTCCCCTCCCTGCTGCTGGTGCGAGCTGGGGCAGGAGTCTGGGCCAGGCCCCGAGACATGGGGACGCCCACAGTGGTCCAGGCGCGTCAGCGTCCCTCGCTGCCCCTCAGCTTGATCTGGGTGGGTGGGTGGGAGGTCCCCAGCTCGTAGCGGTGGGATGCAGCCCAGATGGGGATCCCGACACAGTGAGAGTCCCCACCCCGCCTGCAGGAACTGCATCGGGCAGACGTTCGCCATGAACGAGATGAAGGTGGGGCTGGCGCTGACGCTGCTGCGCTTCCGCGTCCTGCCCGACGACACCGAGCCGCGCAGGAAGCCCGAGCTGATCCTGCGCGCCGAGGGCGGGCTCTGGCTGCGCCTGGAGCCGCTGAGCGCGGGTGCCGAGTGACCTTCAGAGAGCTGTCCTGGGACACAACACCCGCCCACCCACCTTTGCAGATTCCCGGGAATAAGATGGTGATCACCTGTGCTTGAACTTTACCGAGCGCCAGCAGGGGGCGCAGGGGGACAGAGGTGACGGGGCGCGTGGGTTGGGGGGAGGCGAGGCTGAGGTCTTTGAGCCCAAGACCGTGACAGCGTCCCTGGCTGACTACAGCGCCCCGCGCTGATGGCAGGTTCTCCCGTTGCTCAAATATGGATTTCATCGTGTGGCCCAAAGGCAACCATGGGAGGTGTTTGAGCAGGAGAGGAACCAGGATTGAAGGCCGTGTTGAGACTCTTGTAATGCAGGCAATTAATAGTACTAACATTTCTGCCATCCTGACCTTTATTCTGATCTTCTTAATACACCCAATCTTTTCTCACCTCAGGATTTTTACTGTTTCTATGGTTACTAAATTACTATGTTTATTAAACCTAACAAGCCTGGTTGTTTTACAGTGTGTCTGATCATTGTGGTATCTGTGCATCTATTACATTGCCTGTCATTTTTGCTGATTTTCACTCATGGGGGCCCTGATTTTTGTGTTCCTGCTTATCTTCGCCTGGGTATTTGCTAACAGATTTGAAAGAATATTTGTAGAATTTGAAAAAGGCAGTTTTCGGTAGAGGTGTCCTTGGAGCCCTTGTGCTTGAGGATTATGTTAAACCAAGTTCCGGGCTTGTGGTGCCCAAGGTCACTGAGGCCATTTAAACACAAGCTGACCAAACACTTGTGTGGCTTCTTGGCTTCAATTTGCTCTCTCCCAGGGAGATGTAGATCATTAAGGTTCTTATGTGAGAAGAACCTTCTTAAAAATTCTCCTTCTTGTATTGCTCCGTGTCTTTGATTTTTTTTCCCTTTCATCACAAGATCATTAAAACAGAGCTTCATATTTTATTGTTTAGTTTTCGAAGCCCCAGTTCCTTTACCACCTAATAGTACCCCACCCCACTAGTATATTCTGAAGATTGAACAAGTTTACATGCACAACACAACTGAACCAAGCATCCACATCCACATCTCTTAAGCACCCACAGTCCATGAAAATTAGTTTTCTTCTTTCTCTCTTCTTTTTGGCATTACATTTTAGGTTTTGAAATGTTTTAAAGTCACACTGAGCCATATCCTCAGCCCAAAAGAGGAGTTTGAGTTTTGAAAAGTGTGGCTAGCATCTATTGGAGAAAACCATTGGAATATTCAGTCAGCTTTTTTTTTTTTTTTTTTTTGGTGCTGGGGTTTGAACTCAGGGGTACTTAGCCACTGAACCACATCTTCAGCCCCTTTTAATGTTTTATTTAGATACAGGGTCTCCCTGAGTTGCTTAGGACCTTGACAAGTTGCTGAGTTTGGCTTTGAACTGGTGATCTTCCTGCATCAGTCTTCCAAGCTGCTAGGATTACAGGCATGTGCTACCATGACTGGCAAGTTTCTAAATATCTATATTTTAAATCTGAGAAACTACAAGTTGGTCTGACAAGAGCCTGAAGCTTAGAACTGGAAAAAATATATAAATATATTTTTAAAATATTATATATATATATGATATTTATATATAGATATAAATATATTTATATAATATATAATGCATAATATATTTATATATAAATATATAAATAAAAATATATCTATAAAATATATATATATATATATATATATATATATATATATATATAAACATATATATTTTAGAGAGGCACTACCAGGACTTCCATTTCATCTAGAAGTTCCAGGGAGTAAATGGAAGTGGCCCTGGGCTTGATTGAATAGAGACCGCAGAGCAGGGTTGAGGGTGAGGGGCCCGACGGGGCCTCCCCTTCAGCACCAGGGACAGCGGCTGCCTCACGACTGGCTCCTCTGTGTAGGGGTCTTCATCAGGACACAGTGCAAAGACTGAGTGCTTTTCAGGAGGCCACAGATCCAGGACCTGGGAGGATCACAGGCTGTAAAATAACAACTGACACTGAAAAATGAGGCGAAAAAAAATACATAGTGTAAGTGGAAAATCACAGTCGTTTTTCTTTGCCTGTAGCAGTCTCCATTCAAGTGCTTTTCATATTCCAGAACAATGCCTATCCATAGGGGAAAATCCTGTAAGGAAATGGAAGGAATAAAATCACCTACAATCCACACATGTCTTAATAATCACTGCTTATATTCTCTCACACATACTTCAAGTTTCTAACTATCTGAAATGTTTCACAGGTGAAAATTATATTTAAGTCTCACATTACATTTTCATGTCAGAACAAAATGGCTTCAGATATCACTGTCAATTAAAAGTCCAGTTACTCTTCATCCATTAGCTTTTGGGCTAAATATTTAATTTTTATAGAAATAGGTGAGAATATTTTCATGTAAGATATGGGTGTGGTTGGACATCTTCCACAGAATAACTGTGGCCTGGTAACTCCACCGACACTGAAGTTTTGTTCCTGTTCACAGAAGTAGACACTGTTGGGGGGGGGGGGGGGACAAGGTGATGCTGCAGCTCCCCCAGCTGAACGCCCAATTCACCTTCACTTCATTCTTAAGGATGATAGAGAACAAATCACTTGCTCAAGGTTATTCAGTGTGCAGCAAGGTGAATTTGGTCAGGTTCCTACAGAGATCACACCTCAACCTACAAGTGAAGACATTTTCAAAGTGGGTCTCAGCTCCAGGCATATTAGATACCCATGGAACCATTCCAGAATTAGTAGGTGAGTCTCTGACAGGTGGAGCCTCAAATTATCAATGTAATAGTTTTTATAAAAATTTATTTTTTGCCTCACATGTGCTAGGCGAGTGCTCTACCACTGAGCCACCACCCTGGACCTCAAAGTAATACTTTTGACAGGAAACATTCACTCTTGTAAGAAATAAAATGCACAGTGTGAAATATTGGTTCTTCATCTGCCTGTCTCTTCATTTATGTAATATATTTTTTAAAAATTGCCTGCCAGTTTATTTATTCATCAATTCAAGTATGCTTGTTTTCATTTCTTTTTTATTGATTCTTTTTAGTTATATATCATGTTAATATTCATTTGGACATAATTACTGAAGCATGGAATAGAATTTTCTCTGATTTAGTCTGCAGTGCTTGCCCTGTCTTTCCACTCCTTCTTCTGCTGTTCCCTTCTCTCTACTGATCTTCTGCTATTAACTTACAACTTAAAAAAAAATAGGATTTTGTGGCTATACACAGTGGTGAGATTCACTATGGTGTATTCATATATGTACCTGGGAAAGTTAGGTCGGATTCACCCCACTGTGTTTCCCTTATCCCATCCCTCCTCCCTCCCTCTCAATCCCCTCCTCTACTCCCTTGATCTTTCTTCTATTTTGATGGATCCCCCTGCCCCACTTTTCTTTTCCTTTTTCTTCCCCTCAGTTTGGACTTGCTTTCACATATCAGAAAAAAAAAATGGCCTCTGACTTTCTGGGTCTAGCTCATTTCACTTAGCACAGTGGTCTCCAGTCCCATCCACTTACTGGCAAATGCCATAATTTCATATTCTTCATGGCCGAATGATACTCCATTGTGTGTTATACCACTTTTTCTCTATCCATTCATCTGTTGAAGGGCACCTCGATTGGTTCTATATCTTGGCTATTGTGAATTGTGCTGCTAGGAACATTGATGTGTGTCGTGTATTTTAAAAAATATTAAAATCAATTAAATAAAAAGAACACCTAATAAATTCTGAAAAAGTATTATAAAAGGAAAAAAGTGAACATTGATGTGTCTGCATCCCTGTAACATGCCAATTTTAGATCTTTTGGATATATACTGAGGAGTGAGATAGCTGGGTCATATGGTGGTTCCATTCCTAGTTGGGGTTTGTTTGTTTGTTTGTTCAGGAAGCACGGCTTTATTCTGCAATATGGAGGAAACATGCTTTGCCCACTTGCTCCAGACATAAATTGTTACCACTCAGGAACTGGCCAGCAATGCCCTTTGTGGACACCTTGCAGGGTTCTAAAGACAAACCAGAGCCCCAAAATTCTTTCTTCCCATAAACACACCCATATAATTATTTACAGAATTTACTTTTATACTGGTTATCAAAAATTATACTAAAAATTTATCACTAAACTAACTTTATATTTTTTTCCCTCTTAAATTTCTTTGCTAAATGTCTTCACTGTCCCGGTGACCTTCTGCTTCTTATTTGTCCTTAAAAGAAGCTCATGAAAACCTCTCAGTAGATAGAGATAAGAAACTATCTAGGGGCAAATTCAGGGAAGAGAGAATGTGCTTGAGATCTGGAAGGCGGAATCAGATTTCTCAGACTCCCACTGAAGTGGCCCCCTCCCTCCACAGAAAAGCCCTCTTCACCATGGCTGATTTTAGGACTGTCAGCAAAAGAGTCTCTGTGAAAGAGTCCAATGTAGATAAACTTCCTATTTTCGTGTCGCCCTGTTTACTTGGCCACTGGCCGAGAAGATACACCCCCTTATTAGTTTTTCAGAAACATATCCAGTATAGTACTTGAAAGAACAAACAAGGCTCCTCAGAGCAAATGCTGGTTTGTTGAGGAACAGCTCTGCATATTTATAAAGCCAGGGGTGGTTTGACAGTTGGAATGGGGTGCTTTTTGATTGGAGGGTAAGGATCAGGTGAGCCAGCAGGGCTAGTCTGATTGGTGGGTAAGGATCAGGTGAGCCAGCAGGGCTAGTCTGATTGGTGGGTAAGGATCAGGTGAGCCAGCAGGGCTAGTCTGATTGGTGGGTAAGGATCAGGTGAGCCAGCAGGGCTCCCCACTGGACGGCTCTTCTTGGGGGATGGGGAAGTTAGTCTTTGGAGCCAGGGGACTCCCAACAGTACTTTGTAGAAATGTGCAAACAAGGCCTCTGGCCTTGAGCTGGGCTTCACAGAGATGTCTACATTTTTTAAGATAAGTTACAAATGGGCTCCACGGTAACAGCTGGCAGGGGGAGGAAAGAAAGGGGACAAGAAGCTCTCCCCTTCTCAGGTGTTGAAGGGTTAACTTGCCCATAACAGTGAAAGAAAAAGCTGCTTTTCTCTGAACTTCTGCAGACTGTGAACTTCTGAGCCCCTCCCCTTACATGCTGGGTATAAAACTCTGAAACTCCCTGAACTCGGGGTTCAGGGGATTGACTGATTACAACAAAAGCTGTGCCCTCTGAACCTGGCTGCAGCCAAATAAAACTGTTTCCTGCCTCGTTTGTCCCTACAACAACAGAGCAGAGGATGAAGTGAGGGAGAAAAGCTTGGCAGTCCTCACAAGAAACCAGAAGAGAAAGGAGCAACCGCAAATTCAGACTTCAGGGGTCTGAGGTCCAGAAAGCCCGGCACGCAGCCTAGACTGGAGAGTAAATCTGAGCAGAGTCACTCGAGGTGCCAAGAGATGTGCAGAAAACTCTTCCTAGTTTTTTGAGGAATCTCCATACTGCTTTACAGAAGCTTTACAGAGTGGTTGCACTAATTTGCAACAATGTATGAGTGCACCTTTTCCCCACATCCTCACCAATACTTATTATTACTTGTATTCTTGATACTTGTCATTCTGACTGGAGTGACATCTCAATATAGCTTTGATGTGCATTTCCCTAATTGCTAGAGATGTTGAACCTTTTTTTTTCCTTTATTCTTCTTTTGAGAAGTGTCTGTTTAGTTCTTTTGCCCATTTATTAATTGGGTCATTTGTTTTTCTGATGCTAAGTTTTTATTTGTTTTTTTTTATTTTTTATATATTCTGGATATTAACATCCTGAGGAGCAGCCCATTCTTTAGGCTCTCTCTTCATGCTCTAAATTGTTTCTTTTGCTGTGCAGATTTGCTTCACTTTTAGATAAACGCTTTCTGGTATATTCTCCCATTGTG